AAACCAGGGGGATATGAAAGCAGAGAGGGTATTAATGGGACCTTTGGGATAGTCCGGCTCATGATGGGAATGCATTTAGCGTGGCAGCTACTGACTGCAGTGTTTTGAAATGTGATTTGGAAAAAGGCTTTTAAATGCAATCACAGCAGTAATGAGCACAAACCTCGTTCAACCTCAGAACCACCTGCTCTTCAAAACAGCCGCAGCACGATCTACAGCAGCCCGAGACGGCCTTGCTCTTCCAACAGCACTGTGTGCATATCCACAAAATCCAGTAGGAAGCAGTAATCGCTTCACATTTTGCACCAACACCATCGCACCAGGTGTTCTGACAAATACCACCGTTAAATAGATCCAGAGCCCCTCTCCACGCTAATCCAGCCTGGTTCAGTAAGTCTGCAGATCTACAGCCTTTACTTCGCTGTGCTTTATCACTTTGGACCTGCTAATCCTGAAACCCCAAGAGCTCAGCTGTCCCATACATCACCACGCATCACACTAAATCCTCGATTCGGGGGGAAACCGGCTTCCCAGCACCTGTCCCATTCCGATGCTTTACAGCTGAGCTGCTGGCTTCACTTTAAACCAACACTGTAAAATACAACCTGTGGAAAGAAAGAGGCACAGGAGTCAGCAGAATAAGGGGAAAGATTAGATATACAAAGCAAAGAAATGGAAAAAAGAGAGAGCAAAGTAAACAAAAGCAGCATTAAGATGGAAAAGTTTGTTTTTGTCTGAATTTGGCAGCAGAGCTTCTTTCTCCAAATAAATTCACCTAACAGAGCTTGAGGACACATAAACAGACACACAAACATCGGTCTACCTAAATTCTAGAACTAGGATGCCAAGAAACCATGTGACTCCTAAATACTCACAATTTAGACAAGTCGTTTTATTTCTCCGTGCACACAAACACACACACACGTATCGGTGCTGTTGTTTTGAAGCTCAACATGAAGGTTTTTAGACTGGATTATCCTCAGGGGGCCTCAGGGGGCCGAGCGATCATTAAAACCTCTCTATACTGATCTGTAAGTGGAGCATCCACAGTGACCCCTGCTACTCACATCTCTGTAAAAAGGGAAAAATACATACAGTTGAAGGTCTTTGCAGCACTTATGGAACACGTTCTTGCTGTGTAACGCTCCCTGAAAGTAAGAGGCTTGAGTATGATTTTATGTAACGCATAGTAACAGAGGTTTAGATGAAGGAAAATATGAGCGACATGTAACCACATTTCCAAACAAACAGGAGAGCCTGTTTAAGCTCAAGGTGCCACAGTGCTGCACACAGCCAAGCTGGTCATTTTCTCCCCACTGGGAAGCCAGTGGTCGTTAAAGGGTGTTTCCGTGTTACGTAAGATGGATTTGCTCTGCTCCAGGGCTAAAATGCTCAGATGATCCACCCTTAATGTGGACAGACATTTTCACACAAAAGTGTGACACGTTCGCCTGTCTACTCCTTTAAACTGAATCTATAAAGAGGGTGAAGGGATTGTTGTGTCTTTCAGGAACACCAGCAGGAGGAAGGAGAGAGCCGGTTTGCAAATGGAAAAAAAAAGTGCTGGGAAAAAGCAGTGCTTTTGTGATCCTGGCTTAAAACAGTGACCAAGAGAAAAGATAGTATTTGTATGAAAAACATAGTTCAGTGTAAAATATATCCAGGAGTCTGCTTATTTTTGCAACTCAGTGCATTAAATGCATCTGGTATTTTTGAGGGTTTGGTTACTATTAAAGCAGCACATCATTGTCAGCTATTTTTTATCATTTATTTATATAGAGAGTATGTCTCCTCTCGTTCTTTCTCCACCCAGCTGATGGGCTCCTTCGTTCTGGCGGTGGGACTGTGGCTCCGTTTCGACCCAGAAACTGTTTCTCTGCTCAGCGGCGATAAGGCACCAGATACCTTCTTCATTGGTGAGCACCACAGCGCACCTTCGCTCATCTTTACAGCCAAGTCTGGCACGTTATAATTGTGTAACAATACGCCGAACCACATCCAGCACAATGCTGTTGATTTAACACATGTGTGGGTTAATTCACCGCAGGTTTTGGTAAAAGCTCTGTAAAACGCTTGTTGTCAACTGAATGTGATGAATTGTGTTTTCGTCACCACTGGGAGTTGTTTTTCTAGTAAAGTCCGGTTTGGGTTTGGGTTTTAAAGAAACGCAGCTGGGAAATCACTTTAAATGGGTCAAGGGAAGGTCTGCTGTTTCTGTTAACAATTAAGCTGAATATTAGGAATAGAAATGGAGAAGTAAGGCAGGAATTGTGCCAGTTGAGTGCCCTTGTTTGATAAATGTGCATTAACTTATTAAAGCATCAAATGTTCTCTCACACTTTTTAAATGAGCAAACTTTCATGCTGGCGATGAGTGGGAATAACAGGAAGTGACTGTGGTGCAGTGTGAATACATTAGTGGACTCGCACGGGTGTGCACCACCTTTTAATCGGTCAATCTGCCCAGATGGAAAGAAAGAGGAGGAGGGGAGAAATATATGGACAATTAAAGAGAGTTACATCATGCAAATGGCAAACCTTTGAAGCAAAAATTGGACATAGCATAATAATAAAGTGCTGAATGTTGAAGGGGGGGGAGAGGAGTGGATTTACAAGGGTTTTCATGTGCTGAACGCATAGTTTGTGTCATGCTGAAGATATTTGTGGTTTCTTTTTAGGAAAAGAGATGCTTCTACTCTTGACTCCAGTCCAGCTAAACTGCTTTGGGGGATAACATGGTGTAATGGTAGACTACCTCTGGGAGAAATATTTGCTTACAGAATCCTGTAACACTGTTAAGGCATTTCAACACTTCTGCGAGAGTGCCTGTGAACTGAAGTCAGACGTCCATTGGAATTAACCGAGTGGGTGGCCCCTGTCGGGTCCTCTGAGCGTCTAGTGCTACACATGGGTTTGACAGCGAGCGCTGTACCCACAGCTGAGCACCCTCAACAGTTGCTAGGGCTTGTTTCCATAGCATCAAACCCACACAAAACTTTCTTTTTAGTTGAAAATTATTTTTAAGATGGAAGATAAAATAACTTGGGACACAGAGGAAAAAAGGAAAATCTGATTTCCAGTATTTTCTTTCTTTCTTTCTTTCTTTTCCAAACAACAGTTTTGTTTAGCTTGTGGCGCAGTGCGAGCAGCAACATCACTTGTCACCAGATGGAAGAAGTTAAAAGCTAATTAGCCATCCTTAACTGACAGCACATTTAACACCTCCTGCTGTCAAAACTCTTTACAGGCAACTAAAGAAAAACCTGCAGGGTTACTGTATTGCACTTTGAGAAACCAGACCTCTCTGTCTCACTCTGACCTGACCCCATATAACATGGGAGCACCCTGCCTTAAACCACCCTCTGTGGAGCTGTTGCCTCACAACAGACCCCACTTGCATGAGATTACATGGAGCGGATCTGTTGAGTTCCTCCCTACAGACCAGCCCATGATGCACTGTGTGTTTCCTAATGAGACACTGAATGGTTAGCCAAGGGGCATGACATGAAGCATCCACTCAGACCTCCCTCTAAGTCAGGCTTTTGCTATTAAGGGTATTTACTGAGGACGCCATTAAAGGGCACAACAAGAAGGGCTACTCTTAAAAAGGGATGTGGCCAAGCACCAATTTACACAGCAAACAGTACAATCAGAAATTATAATGCCTCTGTTTGTTTTCCTTGGCACTACGACTAACTCAGATTACAATCCTAGTCCTATGCTGCCCCCTTGTGGTGACTCTGTAACATAACCTAATCACCAAAGGAACAAGATGTTGGGGAAAGCTGAGCGTGTTGACATGAACACAAGAAATCTTTTGTATACCATCCCTGTATGTTCCTCCAGGTGTGTACATACTTATTGGTGCCGGCGGTCTGGTGATGCTGGTCGGTTTCTTTGGCTGCTGTGGAGCCGTTAGAGAATCACAGTGCCTGCTGGGTTCAGTGAGTAAAAATGCACACAGATCATAAGCAAAACTCCAACTGGAATGCACTTTCGGCATTTTATACTTCCGAGTAGTAAACGCTTAATCCCTTTTTGCAGTTCTTTGCCTGTCTGCTGATCATCTTTGGGTCTGAGGTGGCAGCAGGAGTGTTTGGATTCTTAAACAAAGACAAGGTACGTTCATTGTTTCACTGTTTTTGAAAACTGCAAGCAGTACCAATAGTCCAAATTCACTTTTCTTGTCTTACACAGATAATTGAAGATGTCCAGAACTTCTACGCAAAAACCTACAATGAAAACAGCAACGGCACTTTGATCCTCTCTTACCAGAAAGTGGTACATATAGAAAAAAACAATTATGATCAACTACATATATGAGGAATCATTGCTTTTTTTTAATGCTCCCTATAATAGGCCTTGTCTTCTCATATTTTTTCTCCCATTTTAAGCTGAGCTGTTGTGGAACTATAGAAAACCGATGCCCCGATGCTGAAAAAGACACCCGGGTAAGACCTCGAGCAGCTCTATACAATCAGCAGAAATTAAATTGGTTGATATCAAATGAATGAGTCTGGTGCCTTACGAAACATCTCCTCTGCAGGACTGCGAGACGGGCATCAAAGACTTCTTCAACAGTAAACTCTTCATCGTCGGATACGTGGGCATAGGAATTGCTGGTGTCATGGTGAGCAGGGAGAAGAGAAAAGTCAGGAATGCACATACGTACGTGATGACTGATAATAAGATGATTTGTGTTTGCTGCTCTACAGATCATTGGGATGATTTTCAGCATGGTGCTCTGCTGTGCCATTCGCAACAGCAGGGAGGTCATCTAAGACGGATCCTTGGCCTCTGCTCTGACCTGCTTCTGTATCCAGCCCGTAAAGACTGTACAGCAATTCGTATTAAATGTCATCTCCTGTCTGTCAACCACCTGGGGAGCCAGGAAGTAGAACATGTTCGAAACAATCCCTTTCCACTGCAGTGCTCATCCCCTCCCTTGTGCAATGATCTTTTGGTTTGGTTTGTTGCTTATTTATTTCCAGTCCAAAGCAAACAACCACAGTCGACCTTTCACAGCATTCTGGGAAGACTTTCACATATCAAATGGGAACAGTACAAATTCTATTGCGGAGCAGACAACCTGTCAAATAGCTTTTCCTAATGGCCACAAATTTTGAACCCACATACTATCACAGCAGTGTCAAAGCTTTTTCACACAGCCTTGACACTGACCCCTGGGCTGTGGGAAACTTAAGCCTGAGAAAGCAATCTGAGGTGAAAGCTGCTGAGTTTGCTTATCTGTGCGCACAGAAACACACACACAGACACGCAAATACAGCTATGTTGTGCTACGTGAGCCCACGATCTTAAAAAAGATTTCTGCATCTCAGAGACCGTTTTGATTGGTTGGATCGGTGTGGAGCGTTACTCATGCGCGCTGTATTTCGATCTGGCAGGCATCCATCGGGATGCCCCATCACAGTGTGAGCGGACACTCCGTGAACCACTCAAACCACACAGGTTACACTAAATGACCAAAATCCAGTGATCTTATTAAAGAACTCGTTCATATTTAGGGAAATCCACCTATTTGGTTTATTTTTAGAGTTAAGTGAACAGATTGAGGCCCAGTAAACATACATTACAGCCAGTGGCCAGTTAGCTTAACTTAAGACAGTCAACATGTCGTCTCGTAGAAGAAGGAAAAATGTGTTCGCACTTTTTTTGTTACCTTTGGAAGGATTCAGTTTTTTTCCATGTGTTCAGTATTTACTCTCAAACAATTAAGTTTGGATGTAACTTCCTATTTAACAAATATGAAAGCAGCATTCATCCTGTCATGTGGCTCATGGACAGAAAGTGAGTGTATTTCTCAGAACTCTCATATCTTTGCAGAACTAGGTTACTTTGCATGATAATGTACATATACGAGCATATTATGTTGTCTAATTTAAGTACTACATTCCCAAGCTGGTGTGTGCTGATGAGTTAGGCAGATCACCAAACTCCAAATTCCTCTATTGAGCAGGAATGAGCATGAAGGCTACCTGAAGAGTTACACAAATGTGCTTTTGCAAATCCAAAAGAATATATATTAACTTCATTTAAAAGCATCTTGTGTGGTCCAATGAAAATAATCTGTTATGTAATAAAGCGTCCCATCAGACACTGTATTGAAGACCCAGACCCAGCGGCCATGTTTACAGGCTAAACTATCCAGTCAGCTGAGAACAGGCACAGGTGGTGGTTAAATGTGCTCATCTAAGCCAGGCCTCTGATGTCTTCTCACTTGCGTCAGTTTTCTCTCAGTGCCTTAAAATTACACCACCCTCAAAAAGAAGCAGTAGAATAGTCTCTATATTTGACTCAGTTCATTAACCTCAGCGTGTAGGAGGGAAGGAAAGACGACTCAGCCTGGATTGTTTCCACCTATCCAGCTTAAATCAGGCCATTGTTTATTCTATAGGACGTTTTCCAGCAGGCAGGACAGTAGGATGTAAATATGTTTCCTTTTCTATTGTACATTGTTTGTGCTAAATGTGATAGTTACTATTTAACATGCTGTGTTTAGACAGATGTTGGCAGTAGCTGTACAGTGTAATAGTGGCGAGATTGTTGGTATCCACACAGCTCGAACAGCGTCTGATTGATGTGCCTTTCTTTAAGCTGGTCGGTGAGCTGAACGTAGTGAATAAATGTAGCAACAGCGTGCACGTTTGTAGACTTGGACTGCAGTTAGCTGTCAAATGTATTCGACGAGTAGAAGACGGGGCTCGACTCGCCATTTTATGGCGTGTTTCACAGTGCTGCGTTCAACTCGAGCTCAGCCAAGGAAGCTGACGTGGTGCGAGCAACGACTTTCCTGCCAAATATTTCAAAAGGCTTTTGGTACCAAGGAATCCTGTAACGAGGACTCAAAACAATCATTTTAATGCTGATTAAGTTCCAACAATCAAGCTGCGTCAGACAGAAGTGCTGGTCAATATTACTATTCTTTGTTTTTTCCAGTGCATTGTAATGTGGCACAAGCGATGACAACAAGTGAGACTTGATAACCACTTCAGGGTGCCAGTAGGCAGTGTTTACTCTGAAGACTGAAGCAACACAGGACTATCACCAGACTGTCACTTCAGAGGCACAGTTTACTGCTACCAAAGCCACCAATCTGTTGCTGTCTTCCTCATTTCTATTTGTTAGAGCAAATCTGGAGATGTAACACACTGTGCACCTCAAAAACAAAAACTCTGTACACAGTCAAGCCTTTCATAGATGATTGTGTGTTAATTTATTTTGATACCATTCCAGGCCTCTCAGGAATATAGGTGTTTGAAGTTTAATAAAGCTTCTTGAAGGTTTTGTAGAGCTTCACGTGTCTGTCCTTCCATTATTGCATCACAGACATTTGCACAAGTGCACACAGGGAGGACATGCTGGTCTTTATTGGCCATTTCCTTTTGAAAAAGTGTTCAGTGGTAGTAGATTTACAATTGTATGTGGATGATTAAAGCAGATACAAGTTTATATATAAACTCTAGGAGCATTGACGTTTCTTTTTGCACATACACAGATTTAAAGTGTGTGAGATTGTTGTTTAATGTCTTGGGATCGGGCCACACGTTCACGCAGGATGTCAGTGACACACTCACGGCACACTTCTAGCAATTTCCATTAATGAAATCCATCTGCAGCATTTTCCTGGATGCGCTCTAAATGTAGCGATATTTTTACCTCACATCATGAGAAGTGCTGCCACAGCAAAGCTCCTTTAGAAAGTAAAATGCAAATAATTTAGTAGTTTCTAAATGCAGCACTGCATAATTTAGAAGCAATGGTGATCCCCAGGAAAACCAGTGAAATCTCCAGTGATTAAGTAGGTTTCCAGATTTAGTTGCATGAGTTTCATGTCAGAGGTTCACATTTCTGCACTTGATCTGTAAGGACAGCTGGATATTAAGTTAAAGGTATAGTTATGTGTGCAATCCAGCTGGCTCAAGGACTGCCCGGGGTGAAATTACCTCAGCACTGCAGCACGAGCACTTTTACTGCCAAAATCGGAACCACGCTTGTGGTGCATGTGTAAAGGAGCAGGGTAACACCTTTCAGGCCTACATAAAAACAAAATATTAAATTATCTGAAGTTAATTTGCTGCCTGTTTCCCATCAGCGAGTGATTACAGACTATAACATTCAACACTTCAAGCCACACACACTCAACACAAACAGAAATAAACGCTGCATTTACAGACATTTATTCAGCATTTATGTATTTACAAAAAACTGCTCTAATTTAGCTCCACTTTGCACAGTTTGAGAAAACTGAAGAAAAACCTGCATATTTACATTGGTAGAACAGTTTAAATGACTTTAACCCATGAAAAGGTCGAGCAGGCAGAGAGTGCAATCTATCATTACACTGTTTACTGCCTCTGAATGTCATTTTTGTGTGTGTGCTCCTGCATCTCTGACAGCTAGAAATCAGACAGACAACCACAACAGACTAAGAGAACATGGCTACATGTAGGTCATGTAGCACCTTTTTTTCTTCCACGTTTGGTCCCAAATGCCAAATGAATCCATCAATAAAGTCTTTACCATTAAACAACATTTCCTTTACCACAAAAATGTGGTTCTCTAAAGTCAGCTGCAGGTGGCCTTGTTGGGCTTTATTTGCAGAGTTAAAAAACACAAACAAAAAATACACAGAGTTGTGTAGAAGAGATTCACAGTGCGCGCTCAAAACTAAAATTCACTTTAGATCAATCACAGTTGTGTATGTGGTGCGAGAATGGGGAACAGGAGACCTCTTGACCAAACATTTCTTCTTCATCTTTTCTAAACCATCATCCCTAGATGACAGAATTTGGGACGAGGTTATGCCCCTTTTTTATTTATCCTCTTAAAACAGGACAGAAGTGAAGTAAAAATGTTCTACCACTATTGTTTTATGCTAATTGGCACAGTTATGTCTCTTCATAACATTAAATACCATCACCTCATAGTTGCCAAGATAGAGCAGTTAGATGGAAAACCAGATTAGGGTTGCAATGAAAGGCAGGTGATGGAGTAAAGCTAAGAAAGCAGTGAATAGTCTGGTGCCCCCGAAGCAGAGCTCTGGGCAGGTGAGGAAAGCTCTCTCTCCCAGAAAGATCCAGTGAAGCACAGACTGGTAAACTTCAACCTCAGTCTCTTAAAAAAAGAGATCTTCATGCTAAAGTCATATTTTTAGACCATTTTAAAATGAATGGCATATCTATGATCCATTTAGCATTTTACTGGAAACCTCCAACAATAAAGAAGGTACACAAAGAGCTGGATCCATTGCTACGCTCAGGGCATAGCTGCTGTAATTTAATAAACCAGCAAAGGTTGGAAACAGCTTTTTTTTTTATGCAGAGCAGATGTTGTAGGGTGTGTACCCCAGCAGGAACTCTCCAACACCCACAAAGTACACAACCTGTGCAATGCCAAAGAGCGGGGCTATGACAAGGGCCCGGCAAGTAGCTCCCTTGAGGAAAGCTCCAGGACCCTCTTTTCTCAGGATCTTCCTGCAATTAACAAGACAAGCCCAGAATTAGTCTTTGATTTATGCTATCGAGGCCAAGCCAAGCAGAATGTTTGTTGGTGATGCTGAGAATCTAAAGCTATGATTTAAGCTATGTTCACCTGATACAGTCCACCACGCCACTGTACGTTTCTTCATTAGTTCCTTTTCTGAGTGACTGGAGCCTTGTTTTGACAACTGCATGAGACAGAAAATTATAAATTATGCAAATAATAAAATGATGTTTTTCTTTAAAATGTCACTTTACTTCGTAGTGCACCAAATGAGTCTCTCACCATCACAAGGACTGACAGCCACAGCGGCGATGGATCCAGCCAAGCAGCCAGACAAAAAGGACCAATAGAAAGGGACGGATGGGTCGTCAGATGAATGCTGGCCAAGCTGGTGCACATGTGCAAAAAGAGGAAAGTACACAACAGAGAACGGGATGTCCCTGAAAAGATAAAATACAAACAAACATGTTTGGATTGATAGACAGAAAGATGTAAAACTGGTTGATTAAACATGTGATATGGCAATACATTTGCACATCTTACCTCATCAATGTGGCCCCAAGACCCCTGTATAGTCCTGTAACACCCTTAGTCCTCAGCAGCTCTCTGGTGATCTGTATGGCAGAAGTTCGCATGGCTTGAGGCCCAGGGACGGTGTTATAGGAACGGCTAAGAACTGCGCTGGCCCTGCCCATCTTCAGAGTTGTTACAACAGCGGGCATCACTCTCTGCTGGGCAGCTGGCAGAAACAGGAAATCTAAGTATTTTAGAGCTGAAACACTCCCAAACACCAGTTTTGTTTGGGGGTTTTGCAAATGATTTGCAGATGTAGATGGTTTTACCTATCCTGCCTGCATCCTGCAGCTGGATCTTGAGCATCTCCATGGGTGTGGTGACAATGACCTGGCACATCCCCGCACAGCATCCCGCCAACATCTCCTTGAACACTGTCAACTTACCACTAAGGACCCAAACACGTCGATTAGATAAAAAATAAATAAATAAGAATGACACTGGATGTTAATATGTTCTTAAGTGCTACTCACCCATCTTTGCTCAACATGTGGCGAAAGAAATCATTAGCAGCTAGTTTGATGGCTTTCTCTGGGGTTACCAGGGTTAGATTTACTGCAGCACCTGCAACAACAAACCTGCTTGTGACAAACTTCCTCCTAATGAAGCAAAGGTGCAGACTTGCTGAAACATATTAACTCATCAGTCTGACAGCACATTTTCCAGTGCAGGAAAACAAGAGTATAGAAACTATCCTGACTGTAGGAATGTGCAAAGCAAAACGGAAATGTTTAGCAACAGAACAAAATAGCCTGCTACTAAGCTACTGTGACACAACTGACTGCATTTTTCGCTGCCTTGCACCAAACCATTAATGGGCCAGTTTACTCAGGCTTTGATCCAACACTGAATGTGACTCAGCATCTGTGCGTCTTATTAAATTACCCAGTCTGGTTGTATTGGTTCCACCAATTTCAAATAAGGTCAGGCAATTAAAATGTGTCATAGATCTCTTTGCTTTTACATATATCTGCCAATGTAGGTGATGGCAGTTCTTGCAAAACTAGATAAAGGACTTTGGGGCAAACAATCACTTGTAAAAACTGCAAGTATGGGCAAGTATTACCTCTGTACATGCCAAAGTAGCCCTCAGATTTAACTGTCTTCACTAGGCAGTCCATCCTGGTGAGAAACATGAGATTCACAGTGAAGGTTGTTATCATTCAGTGTAGCAGAATGGTGTCATTACAACATAAGTGTCACTGAAACATAATGATGACACAGCAACAAGAACAGGAACTTGCATAGTAGAAACAATAATGTATTCACATGCATTTTGAAGAAGAAGAAGCACTGGATTATGAAGATACAAATTATACTAGTGTTGTCTCAAACTATCAGTGAGTTTTCATTTGCAGGTGCCGGTCTTACATGTTCTTGTAGATTTGCTGCCCACTGCGCTGGTTCTGCAAGCGCGTCTTGGCCAAGTCGATTGGGAACACACAGGTGACTCCTACCATGCCTGCAATCCCTCCATTGATCAGTTTGGCTGGTAGACTGTACAAAGGCAAGTCGCAACAGACAAGGACATAACAATCATTCTTTTTCCCACCATTTCTGCAGTTACACAAAGAAGGGTGTTGACAGGCGAGGCGAGAAAACCTGCTCAAACTAAGCTGAAGTAATATGAAAGCAACTCATTATGCTTCTTGGCGTGTGACCCATACTAGTGTATCTCTTTGTAGAAGCTATAGAAAATAACTTGTTGACAAAGTAAAGCAAACAACTCACATATAACTGTAATAAAGTGCTACACATCGGCACAAGAGCAAAAGGCAGGTGGCAAATTCTGTGTTTATTGTATAAAACTATTGGATTGACAAAAAAACAATTAGAACATGCCTCGTTCCTATTATCTCATCTAACTTGGTGCACAGGTCCGTACCTTATCTGTTGTTGCTGGGCCATGGTTCTTGAATTTGGTGAGTGCAGAAGTTGTTTTAGCACAGAGGGAGAGCAGGCTGAGGGTCCCTGAGAGACACTGAGCAAGGCAAGAGCAGAAATAAGCTCAAGGTGATATATATAGAGGAAAGTCCGGCCCTGCAGAGACAAGGATAAATTTGACTCTCCACCCACTGCATTACCAGCCAAGTTAAAATCAGGGTCAGTTACCCACCAACATCAAAGCACAATCCTAATATCCAAATCAAGGCAGGCATACACCCATCTGCAGTGTGTCATTTCAGATGAATCCAGCTCTTGTCTCGAGGCGTCTTGATTGCAAACATACACTCATACAATGGATAAAGTCATAAATTAAAAAACAAACAGCTACTGCGTCTCATAATAACGTGTGATCTGAATTAGAAAGTTAACTACATCTGCTCTGCCTAATTACAAAAGCTTTACAGTTTTTTGCTTTTTGGTTGTTTTTTTAACCCGTCCTGCAACTTTTTCCCGG